TGCGGGCAGAGCAAAGGGAAGTCCTTTTAGAACGGAGATGAGGAGGAATTTCTTCAACCAGAGGGTGATGAATCAGTGGAACTCATTGCCGCAGACGGCTGTAGAGACCAAGTCATTGAGTGTATTTACGACAGAGACAGATAGGCTCTTGATTAGTAAGGGGATCAAATGTTTTGGAGATAAGGCAGGAGAATGAAGTTGAGAAACATATCAGACATGATTGAATGGTGGAGAAGACTGGATGGGTTGAATGGCCTAATTCTGCTCCTGTATCTTATGGTCTTAATAATAATTAACACTGAATGCTAGTTTACCAGCCAATTTTTCTCCTTGCTTTATTAGAGGGGAGTTACTATGGTGAGGTATGGTTTGAAAGTTTATGGTGAGGTATTAGAGAGTACGGTTCACAGATGTGATACAGGTTCATCTCTCTGACAGTGTGTGTAGATGGGTTAACACGATTTTTGGTCAGCCTTGCCAGAGGGTCGTTCAGTGCCGACCAGACTGAGTGTGGAATTGGAGTCCCATATAGGCCCAGCGTGGGGAATATTGGCAGGTTTTATCCCCTAATGGGACACTGGCAACCAATTGGATTTTAATCAGCAGTCAGGTTCTTGCTGCTTGTGCTGACCCTGATCTTTAAGTTCCGGATTATTTTCAGATTCTCAAATGACCCTAGCAAGGGGTCGACGTGGCCCAGGAAGCCATATTGTTGACATGGTGGCAGCCAGTTGAACAGTTGTGAATTTGCAAAGGTCATCTCCTGAGAATGAAGTTTCAAAATGTCACTAAGGGAACGGGGTAACACACTGCCTTCAGGTAAATTAGGACAAAGGAGGAGGATCACTCCAGAAAGTGATTTTTTTTTAAATTACAGAATCCCTACAGTGTAGAAACAGGCCCTTCAGCCCAACAAATCCACACCAACCCTCAGAACACCCCACCCAGACCCATTACCCTTTTTCCTGTAACCCATCTACACATCCCTGAACACTATGGGCAATTTCCCATGGCCAAACCACCTAACCCGTACATATTTGGACTGTGGGAGGAAACCATAGCACCCAGAGGAAACCCATGCAGACACGGGGAGAATGTGCAAACGCTACACAGACAGTTACCAACGGTTGAAATCGAACCTGGGTCACTGGCGCTGTCAGGCAGCAGTGCTAACCACTGAGCCACTGTGCCGCCAATCTATACCTCGGAGTGCCAGACAGTTTATGTAGAATTTGCAGCCCAAAATAGGCCATTCAGCCCAACTAATCCATGCTGATGCATATGTTCCACATGAACTCCTTCATCTTAGCCCATCGATCTATACCATTCTCTATAATGCATTTATCCACTTTCCCTTAAATATACTAATTGCATCAACTTCACTCTACTGAAATGGTTTCTCTGCTCACACCACACTCTGGGTAAAGAGGTTTCTCCACAATTCCTCATTGGATTTATTCACTGACTGTCTTCTACCAAAAGCCTCTATATCTGACGTCCCCTATAAGTGGGAACGTTTTCTCAGAAATCAAAGCCTTGCTCCTGCTCCCTGGCCCTGCACGCACACATCCCCCACTCCCACCCCCACCCCCACTCTGACTCAAGTACGGCTGCCCCCTGGGGCCCTGATGCAGGTCCCTGTCCCACGACCTGACCCTAAACCCATTCAGAATTTTAAAGACCCTATTGTCAACCCTTTAACCAAAATTTCTTTTTAAAAGAAAGAGATGAAAAACTGTGATTGAATTAGTTCAGCCTCTTATTACCGGTTCCATTTTCTAAATAGTTTCTCCAGTGCCTCTGTATCCTTCTTGCTGTGTACAGTCCAGTGCTTTGGGTGGTGTCTGACTAAGATTCTATTTGGGTTTAATGCAACAACTCTACTTTTCAGTTCTACTTTTCTAGAAACAAAGCCAATTTGTGTTTATTGTTACGGTCTTACTAGGATGTACAGGAAAGCCCTTGCAGATTCGAAAGGGAAACACTGTGGTGTTGGTTGGTAAGGATGCAGTGCTGTGTGCTTTAAGGCTGACTAATGTAATAAGTAAGTCACATCTATTCCAATGTCTGTGGCAAGAGATCAAAGGCAGAAACTTGTTCTGGTTTTGTGTGCGCGTGCATGCTCACACTTCAGTGACGGTGATATATTTGTAAAAGCTACAGAACTACAGAAAAGGAGGAACATTAGGACAATGTGAGAAGAGACACAAACACGGAGATACACACAGCTACGTGTGGGCACCACACAGATACAGAGACACAAGGTGTGACAGAGATGGCACAGGGTTAACTTTCACACATCAGAATAAATCATGGAGAAAACAAAAAGAAACAAACGTGAGAATAAATATGCATTGCAAAAATACCTAACCTTCCTCCTCAAATAGAACAGTGTCAGGGAGCTAAGGTGCAGGGAGGGGTAGAGAAGCAGATAGCTTTCTAACCAACCCTTTGTAAACCAAATGATGATTGTCACACATGGCTCTAGTTCAGTTATAATCAGGGTCTGTCTGGGGGCAGGGGGAAGGGTAGGATGGGAAGGTGGTGAGAAATGTAACAGTACTGGATGAGTTTTAAATGTTTCACATACCTGTGCGTTCCAATCACACAACAGGCTACCCTCCTCTGTTGTTTCTGGTTTAGGATTATACCATATTGATATCACATATCATCCTCTGGCCCTTAACATTTCTGTCCACTTGGCTGCCTGCACACACCTTCTTGTTTCTTTTAAAAGGAGAGGGAGGAGGGCAGGGCTGGAAGTGGGGTGGGTAGTATAGACAGAGACACAGAGATAAAGAGGAAAACATGAAATAAAGGGAGGTGTTGGGACATGTTTCCTGGGGGGAACGGGGTGGTGTTTAACAGCCGCAGTCCTGGTGAGGGGGTGCTGGATGCTCATTCAGCTGTGTCCCCTGCTTGGTCCCAGTCACTGCGGGGTCTGCTGTGTCTAAGCTCTCGGACATCTTTTCACAGATGATGTCCACCAGGCGCTCAAATGTTTGCTTGACGTTGATGTTGTCCTTGGCACTGGCTTCAAAGAACTCAAACCCTGTAACCCAAAAAGAGAAAAATAAACATGCGGTAGGCAATAACTCCCAGACTGAGATAACAAGGTGTAGAGCTGGATGAACACAGCAGGCCAAGGCAGACCCTTGTCTAGGCCCGAAATGTCAGCCTTCCTGCTCCTCTGATGCTGCTTGGCCTGCTGTGTTCATCCAGCTCTACACCTTGTTATCTCAGATTCTCCAGCATCGGCAGCTCCTGCTATCTCTGAAACAGTTTTTACTCCCAGACTGAGCCTGGTGAGTGACAGCAGGAGAGGGGGAGAAGCGGGAAAACAGCAGTGAGCTCAGGAAGTCTCAATAGCACGTTACGGTCAATTAACTACTTTTAAAAACATGGTCACAACTGTGACGTAGAAAGTGCAGCAGGGCACACAGCAAGATCCCATAGGCAGCCGTGCCTAGATCATCATCTTCAGTCATATTCCTTAAAGGATAAATATTAAGCCCATGAGGACACTGGGGGATAACTCACCCTGTTACTGGCATCATTTGCAGCTTGGAGCTCATCTCAACACCTCAACATGCAGGGAGCACACTCTGTGTATTGCGGTGGGAATGTCTCCTCAGATTCTGTGCTCACGTCTCTGGAGTGAGGCTTGAATCCACTGCTTTCTGACTGAAGGGGGCAATTGGACAGGATGACTGGCCTCAGAGTTTCTCGCTCGGAGAGAGGAAGCAGTCACTGTTCCTGCTCCTGTGATCATCTCCCAGGCGACTGTGACACAGCATCGCACTGTTGGGTGATGACAGTCTGCAAGGGTAGCACAGTGGTTCGCACTGCTGCCTCACAGTGCTAGGGACTCCACCCTCGGACAACTGTCTGTGTGGAGTTTGCACATTCTCCCTGTGTCTGTGTGGGCTTCCTCCGGGTCCTCCAGTTTCCTCCCACAGTCCAAAGGTGTGCAGGTTAGGGTGGATTGGCCGTGCTAAATTGCCCCGTGGTGCCCAGGGATGTGCAGAATAGGCGGATTAACCTTGGGCGATGTAGGGTTACAGGGATAGGGTAGAGTGTGGATCTGGATGAGATGATCTTTGGAGGGTCAGGTGGTTTCGATAGGCTGAATGGCCTGCTTCCACCCTGTAGGGAAGCTGTGATAACATTGGAAGAATGAACACTTGAGGTGAGCTGCAGGAGGACAGTGAGTACACAATCAGTTGCACCCCAAGTACAGGGAAAGCTCGATAATTAGAATCTTTTGTTAAAGACAATACATGTCCAGGCAGCTCTCTCCCCTCACTCAGCCTCAGGAACAACGAGAAAGTCAGCAGAAACCCATCAGCATCAAGTCCTTTTATGTTTTCTGTGATAAATTCCACCTCTCTCACAAATAGCTTTGCCCCAATATCATTAGGAGGCCATTCAATCCCTTGGATCTATACTGTCATTTGATTCACGGCTAGTTAATCTGCACCTTGGCTCAATTCACATACTTTTGTTCTTTAACTCTAAATTCCCAGATCCCAACTGGATTGACTTCTCTCTCTCTCTCTGAAGTTCCAGCTGAGTCCTAGCATGCACAGGGTGAGTTTCCAAGACTTTTTGCGAGAGAAAGCAGCTCTGATTTACTCATTGTAAACTGACCACTCAGTCCCTCTCTTTCTGGACTCACCCACCAAGGGCAATAGTTCCCCTCCATCAAATCGTTCGACTGGATCACCCTCGACCTGTTACACTTGAGGGGAGTACAAGTCAGCTCCATACCATCCACCCTCACATTTTAACCTTTTGAAAAAGCGCATCTGAAAGCTCCAATTGCCAACTCCATGAGTCGTAGGAGCAGAAGTAGGCCATTTAGCCCATTAAGTCTCCTCCACCTTTCAATGAGATCATGTCTGATCTGATCATCCTCAATTCCACTTTTCTGCCTTTTCCCCATAAGCCTTGATTCCCTTACTGATTAAAAATCTGTCTATCCCAGCCTTGACAGCTCTCTGTGGTAAAGAATTCCACAGAATCACTACCATCAAAGAAGTTCTACTTCATCTCTGTCTTGAAGGGGTGACTCCTGACTCAGATTACGTCCTCTGGTCTTAGACTCTCCCACATTGGAAACAACCCCTTTGCATCTACCCTATCAAGCATTCTTTGAATCTTGTATATTTCAAAAAGGTCACGTCTCATTCTTCTAAATTCCAAACAGTATTGGCCCAAATTACTCAACCTGTCCTCATAAGGCAGTCCCTCCATACCTGGTACCAGCCTAGTGAACCTTCTCTGGAATGCCTCCAATGCCAATCTATCTTTCCTTGGATAAGGGAATTAAAGCTGTTCACAGCATTCCAGCTGTGGTCTGACTACTGCCTTGCATAGTTTTAGGAAAGCCTCCCTATTTTTACACTCCATTCCCTTTGAAATATACCATGTTTTCTAAGGTTTTGGAGTAGATCTGTAGCTCGGTTTGTGGGTGTTGAGGTTATACCGTGTCTTCTTGGAGGATGCTCAGGATTCCCACTATCTTTCATCAAAATACATTCAATTTTCTTCCAAATCCATGCACATCTTCTCTGTAATTGGACCTCAGGTGAAAAAACATTCCTGTTTCCCAGATTGTCTTATTCTAAATATTCCAATATCTTTTGGGTTGGTGTCCCACGGGATTTGAAGCCTTTAACAGGAATTATTTGTCTGGGTAAATTCTGTCCATTCGTATAATCTTAAACTCTACTTGAGCCATCTTATTTACAGCTAGCCTCATTGTAAATTCCTAAAATCTGGAATGATTTTCCTATGTTCAGCACTCTCTCCAAAAGGTAATAACATTCTCTCAATAGCAGTTGCCCTGAACTGCACATAGACTCATACTCGCGGAAAATCCCTATTCCTGCACCATCTATACCCTCACCTTTACCAGTCCAACTCACCCAACAGAAAGTTCCACCCCCCACTCAACCTACATTGGCTGCAAGCCAAGTTGCACTTTAAATCGTAATCAATTTTAACATCTCATGTTCACTTTCAAATTCCTCTGCAGTTTCACCTCTCCCTGCCCCTGCAAACTCCTCTAGCCCGATAAACCTCTCGGATTTCTGCATTCCTCCAATTCTGATCCAGTTTCCTTTGTTCCTGGTGGCAGCTGCCTCAGGGCCAATGTTCTGGTAGTCCTTCCTATAATTCTCCCCCATGTCCCCTTGCAACCCCACTCTAGGACTGTAATGTTTAACTTCCAATTTTTTTTTTATTTTTCCACTTTATACTAAAAAGAACTGTAGCGATGAACTTTTTAAAACTTATTTCTTTATTTTTCTATTTTTATACCTAAGAATTTGCACTCGTACCTTTGCAACTAAGATGGCGTCGAGAAAGGTGACAATACACACTTCACACTGTGCTCCCATACTTGAGTGCATGTGACAATAAAACCTAAATCTAAAGCTACACTCCTTAAAAACCTACCTCTTCAATCAATCAGTTCTATTTGTCAGCCCTAACAATTCACATTGAATGGTTTTGTCAGATTTTTCATATGAAGCACCTTGGGACTCTTTGACACAGGTTCTATAGAAATAGAAGTTGTTGTTGGTGGTGGCATTTGACCAGAACCTTGTATAGTAACAGCATTTCTATTGGTTGTCTTACCCAGGTGATCGGCCAACTGCTTCCCTCCCTCGGCTAAAACTACCCGCTCATCCTCCATATCGCACTTGTTTCCAACCAGTAAGACCTGAGCATTGTCCCATGAGTAGGTCTTAATTTGGGTTGACCTGTGAGGGACAGAGACCAAAGCAATTAACATCCTGGAGGAGGAAAAACAGTCAACAGGTTCTTGAGGAGATCCCTTCATTGCACAAATGGCATGTTCCTCACAGGAACCAACAAGAACCATCAGTTTACCATCAAGAGCAAAGGGTCATGGGATGGATCATACAGTAATCAAGGGGCTTTCAACCCATTGAGTTTTCACTGACTAAAACTACTCGAAATCCTCATTAGCCCCACTTTCCAACACATACCCCAAGCCTGGAGTGTTGTGTCATTTTAAGTGCTCATCCAAGTACTTTTTTTTAAAAATGTCTGTGAGCTTCCCCACTTCAGCTTGAGGTTGTACAGGACACTAGTGAGGCCAAGTTTAGAGTACTGTGTACAGTTCTGGTCCCCCTACTATAGGAAGGATTTTATTAAGCTGGAGAGGGCTCAGAAAATATTTACAGGATGGAAGGGTTTCAGTTATAAAGATAGGCTGGGACATTTTTTCACAGGAGAACAGGAGCTGACAGGTGACCTTATAGAGATTTATAAAATCATGAGGGGCATGGATAAGGTGAACAGCAAAGGTCTTTTCCCTAGGGTAGAGAAGTTCAAAACTAGGGGGCATATTTTTATGGTAAGAGGAAAAAGACTTAGAACGGACTTGAGGGGCAACTTTTTCACACAGAGGGTGGTTCGTATGTGGAATGAAGTTCCAGAGAAAGTGGTAGATGCAGGTACAGTTACAATGTTTAAAAGAAATTTGGACAGGTACATTAATAGGAAAGGTTTAGGGTAGTGGGACTAGTTTAGCTTAGCAAATTTGATTGGCATGGACAAGTTGGATCGAAGGGTGTGTTTCTGTGCTGTATGACTCTATGTCTCTAATAACTACTCTCGCAGGCAGTGCATTCCAGACCCCTATCACTTTCCTCAAATCCCCTCCTCTAAACCTCCTAACTTTCACCTTAAACTCATATCTCCTTGTTATTGTCCCTTCAACTAAGGGGAATAGCAGGTGGGATACTAGGAGATTTGTCTATAAATCCTTTCATTCATTTAAAATTAATTCCCAATTGTCATTTACTACCACTGCGGCACACCCTGAAGTGCTTACAGCCAATGAAGTGCTGTCACTGCTGCAAGCTAGGCAACAATGAAGTCAAATTATGCACAGCAAGATCCCACAGAGAAAGGATAAAGGCCAGATTGTTCTTGTGATGTCAGTTGAGGGATAAGCTGAGGATAATGCTGCCTCTTACACCCAACTGAGAGGGTGCACACTCCAATTTAATGACTGACCTGAAAAATGAGATCTCTGGGAGGCTTCCCTGGTATTGTATATTTATTCCTCAAACCCCGTGTGACTAAACCAGACTGTCCAATCATTTAGCAGATGGCTGCTTGTGGGAGTGTGCTTTGTGTAAACTGGTTACCATATTCCTTGTTATAACACTGACTACATTTTAAAAATGTACCTCATTAGTTGTAAAGTACTTTTGCACATCCCAATATTGTGTAAGAGTCATATAGCACAAATTCAGACCCTCTGGCCCAACTTGTCCATGCCAACCAGATTTGCTAAACTAAACTCGTCCCATTTGCCTGTGTTAAGCTCACAACCTTTAAACCTTTGGGTGCTACAGAAATGCAAGTTCTTTCTTTTACTGTTGCCTCTCACTTATGCTATGTTACCACAGAAACAGCCTCTTTTAGGAGCAGGCATGTTGTGGATTGATGTCCTTGGTATAGGGGCTGAAACATGGCCCACTGACATAGTTAGCTCATTTGGCTGGACTGCTGGGTTTGCAATGCAGAGTGATGCCAACAGTGTAAGTTCAATTCCTGCTCTGGCTAAGGTTACCATGATATTTTCCTTCTCAAGCTCTCGCCTCGCCCAACGCACAATGACCCTCAGGTTAAACTGGTCGTGTCTCTCTAATGAGAAAGTGGGAAAATGGCAGTTTTTAACCATTGCGATTGGAATTCCTGCCTGAAAGTGCAGTGGAAGCATATTCAAATCTTAACTTCCTGAAGAAAAAGGAGATAAATGTTCGAAGGAAAGAAAATTACGTGGCTACAGGGAAAGAGCATGTGAGAGAGATTATCAGATTGCCAGCTCTTTTAAAGAGCTAGCAGAGTCACAATGGACTGAATGGTCTCTTCCTGCACTCGAAGATATTAGGACTTACATAATTCACCCTAAGCCATAGATTACATACCAGTCCTGGACAGCATTGAAGGATTCTTCGTTAGTTATGTCATACATCAAGATAAAGCCCATTGCACCACGGTAATAAGCTGTGGTGATGGTCCTGTATCGTTCCTGACCAGCCGTGTCCTGAAGGAGACAAAGCAAAAGGACTTTCATTAAAACCCTCCAAGCAAAGGGAAGGGGCTAAGCAGAGTTAAAAACAAAAAAATGCTGGAGATCACAGCGGGTCACACAGCATCCATGGAGAGAGAACAAGCTAACATTTCGAGTCTAGGTGACTCTTCATCAGAGCTATGATGCAGGAAGTGAACCCAGCTCTGATGAAGAGTCATCTAGACTTGAAACATTAGCTTGCGCTCTCTCCACAGATACTGCTTGACCCACTGTGATTTCCAGCATGTTTTTTTGTTTTCAGTACAGATTCCAGCCGAGCTAGTTCCATCTCCACCTTTCAGTAAGTTACTGGCTTATTAACAGTCGCAACTTGTACTTTATCGACACTTTCAAAGTGGTTAAACATTTGGTCAAGTGCTTTGGGACATTCATCAAGTAAGCACACAACACATTGAGACAAAGGTGGAGATATTAGGATAGGTGTCCCAAAGCTTGGTCAAAGAGGCAAGTTTTAAGGAATATTTTAAAGGGAGTTTTAGGAGCGGATACCAGAGTCATTGGTAAATTGATGGAATTAGTGGAAACACTGTCTCAAGATTGGAGCAGTCTAAAGTTTTCAGTGAATTTGAGGGGTTGGAGGATGTTATGGCGATGGAGCTGGAGGATGAGCTGTGACAATAGAGACAGAAAGGTAGGTACAACCACTTACCCAGATCTGCAGCTTAATCCTCTTTTCATTCCTGTAAATAGTCTTCACTTTGAAGTCAATCCCAACAGTGCTGACGAACGCTGGAGTGAAGGAATCATCGGCATACCGAAACAGGAATGACGTTTTACCGACACTGCTGTTCCCAATGATCAGGATCTTGAACATATAATCAAAGTTCTGATCTGCAGACTCTTTCTGTCCAAAGCGTGGATCTGTAGCTGAAGCCATCTACACAAAGCAGAATTATTCTCCTTAGACACATCCATAAGATAATAAGACAGGGGAGCAGAAATTAGGCCATTCAGCCCATCGAGTCTACTCCACCATTCAATCATGGCTGATAAGCTTCTCAACCCAATTCTCCCGCGTTCTCCCCCTAACCCTTGATCCCCTTGACAATCAAGAACCTATCTATCTCCTTCTTAAATGTACTCAATGATCTGGTCTCCACAGCCTTCTGTGGCAGTGAATTCCATAGATTCACCACTCTCTGGCTGAAGAAGTTTCTCCTTATCTCCGTTCTAAAAGGTCTTTTGTTTACTCTAAGGCTGTGCCCTCGGGTCCTAGTCTCTCCTACCAATGTAAACATCTTCCCAATGTCCACTCTGTCCAGACCGTTCAGTATGCTGTAAGTTTCAATTACATCCCTCCTCAACCTTCTAAACTCCATCGAGTATAGACCCAGAGTCCTCAAACGTTTCTCATATGTTAAGCTTTTCATTCCTGGGACCATCCTCGTGAACCTAAGACGATTATCACTCTTTTTGTGAAGAAGTACTTCTTGACAGCTTCTTGAATCCACGCGGCTAAATCGTTTTGATTTCTCACTGTAGCTTCTCACTCCTCCCAGAATCAACCTAAAACACCTCACGCACAGTGAAGTACATACGCAGGTGTTATGGAGCCAAGGGCAGGAGGCAGTGCCACACTACCGACAGTATTCATAGCATACATACCACACCAACAGGCCATTTGGCCCAACTAGCCTGGGCTGGTACACAGAAACACAAGAACAGGAGGAGGCCATTCAACTCCTGAAGCCTGTCCCTCTATTCAATGAGATTCTGTGACCTAATATCATATACCAACTGATGTCCCAAATTCCTTAAGATCTCTGAATATCTGAAATCTATCAATCCCAGATTTAAAATTAAGAATGGATCCTGCATCGATCATTGTTTGTAAAAGAGACTTTCGAATTCTTGCCGCCCTTTGCATGCAGACACTTATTCAAATTTCACTACAAATTTTGAGACTTTTTCCTCCTCCCTCCCACCTCACCCCACCCCCAGCCCTAGATGACCCAACCAGCCAAAGTGGCTTCTCTCCATCTACTTCTATAAGGCATCGACAGCCTAGTGGTATTATCGCTACACTGTTAATCCAGAGACCCAGATAATGTTCTAGGGACCTGGGTTCGAATCCCACCATGGCAGATGGTAGATTTTGAATTCAGTTGAGAATCTATTGAGGACCATGAAATCATTGTTGGTTGTTGGGGAAAAACCCATCCAGTTCACTAATGTCCTTTAGGGAAGGAAACTGCCATCCTTACCTGGTCTGGCTCCAGACCCACAGCAATGTGGATGATTCTCAACTGCTCTCTGGGCAATAAATGCTGACCTAGCCAGTAATGCTCTCATCCCATGAATGAATAAGAAAAGTCTTCCCCATCCCGTTTCCCTTATTGAATTAAAATCTTCAAATGAATCACCGCGTGACCTTTACACTTCCAGGGTAAACTAAGCCTAGTTTGTGCCACGCAGTCCCCAGAGAAATCACGAACAGGTATTGTCCTGGAAAAGTTATACTTCACTCCAAGTGACTTCTTTTTGAGATGCGATGGACTCCAAAGATGGTCTACCCAAGGGCTTCGTAGCATGATTTCTGTCCCCTTGTATTCTAGTTCACTAGATAGAAAGGCAAGCATTCCATTGGGTTTTTTTGTTAATTTTCTGTGCCTCTGCATTATGTTTTCATGATCTTTGGATCTCAACCAAACACGCACACACATTTAAGCCTCCAATGTTTCTAGGTTTTCATTACCTAGAAAGCCCCAGTTTTTAAAAAGAAGGTCTAGAGTGGAAAATCTCTCATGTCTCAACACAAATTGTTGTGGTTTTGCCAATGCATTCACACACTCAGTATCTCTGATCTTGTGCTGCCATCTACCCTGCCTACAATGCTGCTAACCTTTGTGCCATTGTTCAATTTGAATGCATGCTTTCTGTCTCTAAGTCATTCAAAAATACAGTCAATAGTTGAGGCACAAACACAGATCCTTGTGGAACATCAATCACTTCCTGCCAATTCAATACTGCCCTTTATCCATGCTCCCTATCTCCTGTTATTCAGCAATTTCCCAATTTGGTCAATAATCTGGGAATCTACTTTAGTTCCCAGTCTTACTTCAGGCACTTTATCAAAGGCTTCTGGAAGTTTGTATAAATAATGCCAATAGACAGTCCCTTATCCATGACTTTAGTCATCTCTTCAAAACAAAAAAAATGTCAGTTTGGGTATTCAATATTCCACAAATATCTCTCATTGCATCAGCCTCATCGCTGCTTCTTAAAGATCTTTTTATCACAATTTCTCTCTTTTACATATCTGGTTTACTTTCAAAAGCATCAAGGTATTTATCACATGAAGGATTGCATGATCACTTTTAATGATGGTGCTGGTTTGGGGAAGAATACTCACCAGGAAATTGAGACAAGCTCCTCTTTAATTTACGACATGCCATTCCCTTAGCACTGGACTGGAAAGCACACAATCCTGACTTTCTCAATTCCTTCGTGGGGTGTGGGCAATGCCAGCAAGGTCAGCATTTATGGTTCAGCCCTGTACAACTGACAGACTTCCTGGTTTATGTAGTGAGGTCAGCTCAAACTCAAAGGGCCTCTTCTGCGCTACAAGACCATAAAAGATAGGAGTGGTAGGCCATTCTGCCCCTTGACCCTGTGCTGCCATTCATAGCTGACCTGGTATTCCTCACATTCACTTTCCTGCCTTTACCCAATATCCTTGATTCCCAACTGATCAAAAACTCATCTTAAAAATACACAAAGACTCTGCCCCAACAGCTCTCAGTGGCAAGGAGTTCCAAACATTCATACCCCTCTGAGAGAAGAAATTCCCCCTCATCTCAGTCTTAAATTTCTACCCCTTTACTCTGAGACTACGCCCTCTGCTCCTAGACTCTCCCATGAAGGAAAACATTCTCTCAGCATTTACTCTGTCAGGCCCCTTAAAAATCCTACATGTCTCAATGAGATCACCTCTCATTCTTCTAAACTCCAGTGGGTAGAGTCCCAACCTGTTTAACCTTTTCCTGTATGACTATGACACTATGACCACTAGCAGTCAATCATAATGCTTTTGGACAGTTGCACAGTCTCGTGCCTTTACCCAGAAATTCAGGATATCAGCAAGAGAGATATTAAAGACATCGTGCAGGAAAATGGCACTGAAGTTCAGGATCAGTCATGATCTTGTTGAGTGGTGGAACAGGTTTGATGGGCTGAATGGCCTACTCCTACTCCTATTTCCCATATTCCCCTATATTCATTACAGCCTCTGTTAATGGGCTAGGCAGACCACACAATACAGGAGCACATGTAGGCCATTCAGCATTGAATCTGTGCCAGTGTACAATGAGATCATGGCTGATCTGATAATCCTCAACTCCACTTTCCTGCCTTTTCCCCATAAGCCTCAATTCCCTTACTGATTAAAAATCTGTCTCAGCCTTGAATATACTTAGTGATCCAGCTTCAACAGCCTTTTGTGGTAAAGAATTCCACAGATTCAATATACTCCGAGAGAAAAATATCCCCCTTATTTCTGTCCTAAATGGATGGCCTCTTGTTCTGAGATGATGTCCTCTGGTCCTAGACTCTCCCACAAGGGGAAACAACCTCTCCCACATCTACCTTGGTGAAGCTCCCAAAGAATCTTGTTTATTTCAATAAGGCCATCTCTCATTCTTCAAATTCTAATAAGTACATGTCTGATTTACTCAACTTCTCCTCCTAAGACAGTTTCTCCATACCTGGGATTGACCTACTGATCTTCCCCTGGACTGCCTCCAATGCCAGTTATATTTTTGCTTGAGCGGACCAAAACCGTTCACAGTATTCTAGGTGTGGTCCAACTAGAATCTTATACAGTTTACCAAAACTTTGTGCTTTTATATCCCAGTCCCTTTGAAATAAAGGCCAACAGTCCAATTGCCTTTACAATACTATGACCTGCTGAACTTGGATGCTAGCTTTATGTGACTTCCAAATCCCTCTGATCTCCAAAAAAAAAACTCACTGGAGAAACTCAGCAGGTCTGGCAAGAGATAATGTTTTGAGTCCAGTGACTGAGCTCACATGAAGAGTCACTGGGCTCAGAACATTAAATCTGCTTTCTTCCCACAGATGCTGCCTGAGTTTCTCCAGCAATTTCTATTTTGTTTCAGATCTCCAGCATCCACAGTTATTTTGTCCCTCTGTTTTGTAGTTTTTTGTGAATAATAATGAATATTATTCATGTAAATAATATTCAGCTCCTCTGTTTATCCTGCCATAGTGCAGAACCTCACATTTCACATATTCCATCTGCCAAATGTTTATCATTTGTCTAACCGGTCTATATCCTTCTGCAAACACTTCACGTCTTCTTCATTACTTGCCTTCCCACCTATTTTTGTGTAATCTGCAAACTTGGCGGCAGTACATTCACTTCCCTCATCCAAGTCATTCATAGGTACATTAACAGATTAGGGTTTTCCAATTCTAGCTGGAAGTGTTTCAGCAAGAAGGTCAGAATTAGAAGAGCAGAGAGTTCTTGGAGGGTTGCTGTGCTGAACTAGGTTCAACTGATAAAGACAGGGGTGAGGCCACTGAAAGATCCCGAATTCAAGTTTGAGAATTTAAAAATGGAGATATTGCTGGACTGTTACTCAAAGTTGCTTGGTGTGGTTTACAGACCATTGCTCTTGACTCTCTCACAGCCTTGGCTCTATGCCTTATGCTGTAGAGCCTGGAATTCTCTGGGACTCCTCGCTAACAAACTATAGTGAATGACCAAACTTAGATGTGTCTTTCTTTTTTGTAAATGCTACTATGTGTGAAGAGTATGCTGGAAGGGTGTTAAACACCAGTTTGGTTAGACAGAATCTAGGTATATACTTTTCAAGTCAGAGTTTTATTCCAACTTATACAAAGAACTCCAGTACA